AGTCATATTGGTTAGACTTTTTTTTTTGAGTGAATCTAAAAGGCTATGTATGGAGCCATACATCCATAGCTGGGTCTGGCAGTCTCAAATGGATTGCTTTGATTTAATTTACCAAATTAGCAGATTAGCTGTCGTGTGTCAGCCTAACTCAAAAACATGTCCAAAACTCATTTGTCTTTATGGAAATCAAGCCCACATATCCTGTTCCTCTGCAAATCTACTCTGTGGCTTGTCTTTTTCAACTTTCATAATAATTGTCCAGTCAGAAGAACTGATGAATTTGTGACTTAAATATGGGCTAGTAGAGTTTGGTTTGTTCACAGAACTCACTGGTATGAGGAACAGAACTTCTGTCCTTGTTTTGTGGAAGAAGAGGCTGGATCAGAGGAGAGAGTGACTTTCTGAGGGTCACCCAGTAGATCAGTGGTGAAGAGGACTCCTGATTCCTAGTCCAGCATTTGGGCACTATGGGACATTGTGGACTGCCTATCAGACAAAAACTGGAGAAAGAACATGTTATTGTCCACATTTCCAAGAGGAGGAGTGATTCTGTAACTTTTTACTGGTCCAAATATGATGTGTCCAAATAGGCTAGATACTAAGTGTTCATTCAGTCTCCAGGACATGATGCTCAGCAGACAAGGAGATGTGTGCTTAACCTAGTTTGGTAAGGTTCTGAAAAGCACAGCTAGCAGCCCTTCTGGTCAATCTGGACAAAACATTAATTTTTTTTTTTTCACCCAATTCTGTACTGCTGGCAGCAGAATTACAGCAGGGAAAAGAGGAACTCAGGCGTAATCACAGCACAGCTATGGTCAGTCATAAGGTATTTCAAGTTATTTCTGAAGTAGGTATTTTCAAACACATTTAGTTTGCCTGACTTGTCTGTTTTGATGCACAAGTTCCATTTTTATTATAAAGTGATAATAAGCTTGAAATTGCTGCTTTTCTAATGCAAGTCAAAAGCTAGCCTCTTTGAACTAAGAACAGTGGTGAAAACAGTGTAAAGCCTTGGAAATGTGAGTGGAGCTCTCAGTTACTCTGGACATATGCTGGATAATTTAGTGTGTGACAGGAAGGAAAAATTTCCTTTCTTTAAAAAACCCACATCTTTCACAATAGTAATGGTCATGAAATTTGTTAAAGAATTTATTAATAAGGGTTATTTTGCGATTATCTGGGGATGTGCCTTTCAGACTGCAATCAATATGAGCAAACTAAATACGCATATATAAAGGACACCAGGCTCTCCACCAGATATATGGTGATATATATAACTTGTGACTATACTGCATTCTGCTGTGGCCCAACAAGGCCCTTCTTACATGGCAAACTATCAGAACAAATTCTTCTATCTTTATAAGATGCAGAAGATTGGAACAGGCTGAGTATTTCCTTTAGATTAATGTAAGAATCAAAACTAATACATGAGAATGCATTAGGTGGCTCAGATATTTTATACTGGAGTTGTTAAGAGAAACAGCACCAGGGAATAATACAGTGATGTTTTTTGGCGTAATGTGCCAGTGCTACAGACAAAAATTTCAAACCATTGACAGCTTGAAATATGGTATGTACATATATAGCATGCTACTTTCTGCAAGGCAACCAGTTCTAAATCATGTATTTTTACAGGTAATCACCTTTGTTTTTCCAAAATGCATAAATCATATTCAGTTTGCTCTGAAGGATATAATATTTCCAAGCACGTCTTCAGAAAACCTCTGGAGATCTAATTATTCCAGGATACCACAAAAAAGAGTTATTATTTGAACTGCTAAAACTGCTAGCTGCAATATGATGACTTCTCTGTCAGTGTTACTCTGTTTCAGAAAAGATTTTATTCTCTATAGCAAACATAGCTAGGTTTCTATTTTCCCCAGACCTGAGTTCAATTATTTAATATGCCCTAGGCTGGAAGAATACCAAGTACATGTAACATCCAATATTTTAAAATAGCAGTTATAATAACTTTTGTTTAGAAAAAATGCATAGGTTTTAGTTCAGAACTTAGACCAAGTGGATAAATTATTCTGATCTAAGTTAGCCTAAACGTTGTGAGTCTGCCATCTTTAGTGGAATTACTCTGCATCATTTTAAAGTCAGGACCTGCCAATTCTGGGTGGAAATCAGGTGTGGGAATTGCAGTATAAGAGAACCCATAGTCTATAGCAACAGAGAACAGTCTGATAACAGTCATGTGTCCTCAACTCTCACTGCTCCCTCACAGTGTCTTTTGAAGACAAGTCTTGTCGTTGGTGGATTTGCTTCTGTTCCTACATGATTGTACTGGTAATCTGAGGACTGTTGGTATTTCTGAGTTAAATAAAGTAAGAAGAATCTAGATAGTTCCTTTGTTTAAAATAACTCAAGATCTTAATTATGTGTGGCTTAGAAAAACTTGGAAAACATTTTCTCTGTTGTAATGATTTTAAACTTTAGATGTCCTTTATAATTCCATAGTTCTTCCCAAAACTGGCTCCATCATCATGGTAAAACCTCTCTGTGACTTTTGAAATTTGTACATTCGTTCTCTGCCATGACCTGAAATGGCCCTTGGCTCAATAAATATAGTTGTTCTTTTTAAGAGGTGGATAGGTACTTGCTGGGGACTGATGCATGGAATTCATGGTACTGAATTCTTTCCCATAGACCAAAGAGCAGTAACCAACCACATGACTTTGCTAATCCAAACCTAACATAATGAAACTGTGGCCCTGTATCCCTTAAACAGTGGTCCATCCTGTTCCCTCTCATTCTCTTTGAAAGCCTTTTAGATGCAGGCATTTTAAAACAATTTGATAGTCATTTCTCTCCACATGATTTTTGTGGTGGTTTTGCCCTAAAGCCTCAGTTTTTCAGTGAATTAGTTGTTGTCCCCAGGAAATGTAGAGTCATGTACATGTCAGAAATGAAGAAAAAGTAATTCTGAAGAAAACAGCCGTCTACAGTGTTACACATTGCTGTTGAACTGGATCCCAAATGCTCACAACCAGGTATTTCATGATATTTGTGGCCTGATATTTAGACACCTAATGGAATATTGGAAAGGACAGAATATGTAATCCTTATACAAGTAATAATAGTTTGTCCTGTAATAATCCCCTAACTCACCACATCTTCTACTGACAGCTACCATTCTAAATGCTTCATTCTTTGGGTTTTCCTTTTTTTTTTTTTTCTTGAATAGTTAGCTTTCTGCTATAATTATCATGAAGAACCTGATGTGAGGTTATGTGAGATCTTGGCCTCTTTCTTAAGCCAGAACTAGATACTGTCCATAGTAAAATTGAGGTTATCATTGAGAGGAACACTGAATTCTGGTGGCCTCACCCAACACAAATCAGCAGAGAACCACAGACCTGAATTCAAACCAGGTCCTGCATATGCAGGAATGGAAAGTACCCTGTTTGTAGAGCAGGGTAATTTACACACTGACCTAGACTAGAATGTCTCCCTAAAAATGGCATTTTGAAGAAACAGTGACTAGATTTCAGACCCATCTGATAAGAAAGCACAGGCACTGACCACAAAGCCATAGAATTGTAAAATCATAGAATAGTTTGGGTTGGAAGGAATATTTAAAGGTCACCTAGTCCAAGGCCCCTGTAATGAGCAGGGACATCTTCAACTAGATCAGGTTGCTCAGAGCCCTGTGACTTGGAATGTTTGCAGGGATGGGGCACCTACCACTTCTCTGGGCAACCTGTGCTAGCGTTTCACTGCTATAATTGTAAAATATTCCTTTCTTATATGTAGTGTAAATCTACCCTCTTTTAGTTTGAAACCATTACTTCTTGTCCTATGGCAACAGGCCCTGCTAAAATGGTTGTCCTCACCTTTCTTATAAGCCCCCTTTAAGTACTGAAAATCTGTAATCTCAGCCTAGAGTTTGTGCAATGCTTGAGGCAGTCTAGTCACCTGCTGTTACTTCTGCTGATTACAAGTGAGACTTCTGTTAAATATTAATGCATAAGGAAGGGGTCAAGATCAGATAAGTAAAATACAAGTATACACCACAAAGGTTCTTAAGTAACTTCCATAAAGTGCTTAAAAGAAATTAAAATAATTGAATGTAACATTTTGGATTTCAGTCTACTAATAATCTAGGTCTAGGCCAAACCAGAACCAAACTGTTTACATTTGAAATGTCTGAAAATTTCCCAGAGCTGTTAATGATGACACCAGCTTTCATAATTGAAGAATACAATAAACACAATACCTATTGAATTGTTGTATTCAAGTCAATATTTCACGTCAGCTCTCTAAATCTTACATGCACTGAGGTTATCTGAGAAATCTCAAGTTTATATACAGCACCACTGTACCTTGGGCCTTTATACTCTGAAAGTCCCAGTGCCCTTTCCAATTTTTATCTCCATTTTCTTATAGGAACCCAGGAAATCTGTTCCAAGGCAAGGAAATGAACCTCAGAGCAACTCATTCAGCATTTTGACAATCTTTCCTTCCTCCACAGATATATGATTTTTTTTCAAAAGGCTTCTGAGAATGAGTGCTTATAGCAGTAACCATCATACAAGTGCTATGATAAGCTGACTTTCTTTCGGGAACCTAACACAATATAGCTATTGTCTCATATCAGCATTTCTCAGGCAAAATGGTTACATAAATATTTAGAGATAATAGTCACTGTTAAGAATTATGAAAAATATCCTCATATCATTCCAAAGAAGTAACTTTTGTGCCTTTCCAAAAGGTCATCTTCCTCCCCAGGCTATTACACAGTAAGTTTTTGACAAGTTATGTAGTTTACTGCTGGCCTATCATATTAAAGCAGCTGCATTTCGGAATGTCACATATAATTTGCTTTGAAATAAAAGGCCTAAAAGAAATAATAATGACTTAATTTACAAATTCACCTTTAATTAATTCCAGCAAGAGAGAAGCTTTCCAAGATACACATTTTGACTGAGTGAAATATTGTAGGAACCAATTACTCTGTATTTGGAGAAACATTTAAAAATAAATGGAAACATTACCTTGGCTGATGTTTCAAACCAGCCCACGAACCCATTCTCTTTGCAGAACTGATCCATCTTGATGCCGTTGTTCATAAGAACATCTATTCCCTGGTCACATTTGTTTGCTAAGAGGACTGTTGGCACAGGTTTGCCATTTGGAAGAACCAACTTAGAGTCCAAATCCTCTTTCCATTTTGTCACTGCTTCAAATGTTGCAGGTCTTGTAACATCAAAGACAATAAATGCCCCCATGGCCTCTCTGTAATATACTCTGGTCATGTTTCCAAATCTTTCCTGACCTGTGATGAAGAAAGTAAGAGGGGAAAAAAAATACTGGTTTACAGATTGTAAAAATCACTGCTTCCAATCTAGGACAATATTTCATATAGCAGGTTTTCTAAGAAAACATTACTGAAGGTAGGGCTTCATTTTGTCTCTGGAAAGCTATTCTTTGTCTAAACAATGATAAGTACAATGTTAAACTCATTTATATGAAAATGCAAGGGAGCATAGCATGAAAAAGGAGTTTTCAAACAAACATTCAAGAAAATTTAATAACCTTATGACAAGATCAAACTTCAGTATTCAGTCTTATTAAACTGCCAAATTTCTAAATCTCTGGACACTACCAGAGGTCTTGGTGTGCATTATAAGGCTTTATTTTGTGGGTAACATCTGACACAACTGATATGCTTATGCATGAAGAAGATCCTGCAAGTGAAGAAGATCCCATGCAAGTGGTAATAATAAACAGTAACATAAATAAGCTCTGGAGCCATACCAGGCATTAGAATCATTATGAATTTGCTTTTACTGGCAAACTAAAACACAGAGTTGAGAAAGGCGAACTTAAAGTGTTACAAATGTGGAAAATGTTCTAAGAAATAGCACAGCAGTAGCAATATGAAAAGCTGTATTTCTCCAGTGAAAAAGATCTGGGAGAAAACATTTCACACTAGATCTGTTTAGAAGATTTATGGTTTTATTTGTTGAATTCTAAGTGTTTGCTGGGAAGTTACTTACAGTATTTTTGTGAGCTAACAGTATATTATTATATTAAAACATGGAAATTTGTAAATATCTATAGTTTTATATGATTAACAGTGTAAAAATTAACACGATATCAAGATGTGGTATGTTGATCAGCTGTGGGTTTGTTAATATATATGCTGTTTTCATGGGAACTTTGAAAAAATGTTTCCAAGAATGGAAATAAATTACACAAAATATTTCTTGAAGTGAAAAAAATAGAATTTTCATTGATGTCTACTGCTGAGCTGTGAAAAATTATAAATTCCTGAAACATCTAATGACAACAGCAGTCCTTAAGCAAGACAACACCTATATTTAACTATATGCTTCCATATCTGAGAAAAGGTGATATGAAAACAGACAACATTCAATGGAAACCTGTTTGTAGTCTTATTTTCTCAATGTGCATAATTCTGAGTAAATTAGGAAGACAAGAAGATTGGCAGTCTGCCTCTGACCCTAGGAAGGTTACCTGTGGAGGTTTTATCTGATGGAAATTGTGCTGTCAAATGTAAGGCTGGGTTGAGAAGTGAAGACTGCTGATTACTGGGCTTCCAGACCATGCAGTTTCATTTAATGGAAACAGCACCGAACTCAACACCGTCTGTTTGTGATGTTTATCTCTGGTTTTATGCACTAGCTATTGCAGCAAGGAAGAAGTCATTCAAATGATACAGAAACCAAAATCAGATGTTTGTCTTCTCCAAATTCATGTTAGATTTTTTTTTTTTTTGCCTTAAACAAACACTGTGTCCCATTGATAAAGCAAGATAGAAATACATAATTTCTTGGAAATATGAGGTCATAATGACAATTTCTTATGGCTATACTTTATTATAATATCTTATGATTCCTATCAGTGGTCTAATCAGATGAATGGCTAAGTCATGTGCTATTCAATAATCTCCTTGTTGAGGAATTCTTTTTTCATCTGCAAGAAGGTGCCTTCAAACAAAAGTCAATGTCCAATTAGAAACTTAGCAGTGAGAAAAGCAGCAACATATAGAATTAGTTTTTGATGCACAATGTATTTCAGTTATACTTTATGTTTCCCATGTAAAGTTCTTGAGAAGTTTGCGCTCTAGATGAGATGTAGATGATGTAAGAACAGCTGAACTTGGGCCTTACATATATTTATGTGGACACAGATCTCCTAGGTGGGACATGTCACAGAACATGGACAATTATTAATTTGCAGCATAAAATCATTCATCATAAAAAATCAAAGTTATTAGAGGAATAAAAGGCTCTTATGATGTGATCTTCTGGATAATAGTGGCCCACAAAATTCTGGTAAATGCCATGACACTGATTCCTCCTCCTGCTTTCGGCTGTTTTTGCAGATACTTAGGTTTTTCACTGCACAGGAAAGCCACTGTGTTTGTAAAAGCTGTTTTATGAAGAAGGGCAAAGTTCACCAATTTCCATTATCATTCACTTCAAAGAAAGAGAAAGAATGAAGGTGCTTGCTGAATAAAGTGCCTAAACCCTTTTTGAAGTGGTCTTTTTCACCATCAGCTGCAATTAACATATGATCATACTTGGCATAAAGACATTATGCAACTTTGAATGGAAAAAGTGGTGGCTTGTAAACCAAAGACTTTTAGTTTTATGTAATTTGCATAATGGATTTGATTTTATTTAATTTTCATTGTGAAAAAACTGATCTCTAATGTTTGTGTTGTGCTTAGAGAGCTGAATATTGTCTAAGAATCCAGGAGGACTCTTTTTTCCAAAGATTCTCCTTTATGTGAACAAATACCTAACTTAATAGACAAGTTCCTAAAACTTTTACATTTAGCAGAATTACTTATGAAAATAGGCACTGTTTGATGTATTAAAGGTGTCAGAATCTGGCCGTAGGTTTTCAGCAATACAATAGCTTAGGTAGTAATTAGGCAAGAAAATGTATCAACAACTAGGTATTCAGTGCTATCTTGCAGACAGCCTTGAACATTAGAATCTGTTTTATTGCAAGAGAGACTGGGGAAAATGGGTTTTGCTTTTTATCGGAAGGGTCAGAAACTTGTGAAATGTTTGTTTGATCTGGCCCATTGTACTTTACTGCATCCCTTACAGGGCCACTGGCATCTGTCATCAAACCCCACAAGCCTGATGGCCTTTACCCACTGAGACAGTGCTTTATGTTGGGATTCATCAGCTCTAATCTAGGTTCCAAAAAATTACCTGGGTGTATCTAAGATTAGGGTCCTTTTGTAGTCAGAGACTGAGAAGACATGTTTAGAGGGCATCTTCTCAGCAAGGATAGACATTTAAGAGTGGTTACATAAACTTAATTATGAAAGTAGTTAATCTCTACCCTCAAGCCCTGGAGACCCCAGGGTGAGTAGTTTATACTCAGGTGGTTCAGTACAAGATGTCTAATTGTTAAACCAGATGAATCCTACCCCACTTTGAAGTGAACCCAGTGAGACCAAGGTGCCAAAGCAACAGGATTTCATTAAAGGGAAGGACTCCTTGTCTGAATGACAGCTGCCTACACATTTATACTAATCTCAATGTCACCTCTGAAGCAGGGAAAGTATCATTTCATGGGTTTAAATCAGTCAACAGCTGAATTTTCATAGTTTATAAAGATGTACCCCACATAAATTTGCCAGCGTGACTTTTACAGAAGCCTATAATTTTCACTAACCACTATCATCTCTGATAAAGTTATAAAAACTAATGATAAAGTGTTAAACTCAGATAATTTCCACCATCTTTCCCACAGTATCCAAAATATAGTGCAAGATAAAAATTGATTAAAACTGCCTAATGCCCAGTTTTACAGTGGGTTTTACTTCTTGCCACCATCCCTCATCCTAAGAGGCAAAAGCTTCTGGGAACTACCATTCTTTCAAGAGGGCATTTAATCAACACTGAGAAGCTGGAGATTGCAGAGATTTAAACATTTTTTATCTTTCACTTCAAAATAACTTTCAGAATTTTCACCCTTCAGTTCAAGCCATAATCTTTATGGATTGAAATTTAAGCAAGCCTTCAGGTGGTGTTCACCACCCCAGAATGTGGAAAAACAGGCTGTCAGCAGGATTAGGTCCACAGATCCCACCACAAATCTATACTGAAATAAAACCATCACAGCCAGGGAATTATTTATGTTTTCAGAACAGTAATTTCAAGGTAACTTAGCCTAGAAATCACCATGACTATCTTATTTATGCATAAGTACTGCAATGCTTAGCAGCTACTAAAAGCCTAAACCACTAAGGATGTGCTGTGCCTGGCATTAGTGAACAGTTCATTTACTCCTTCTGGACCATAGCAGTCTTAAAAACTGTACAACTGCAGAGACATTTGCCTATATCTGTGCAAAGACTGCTGTTTCGAAGGTGGAAGTTGCAGGGCAAGGAAAAAACCTGTTCTGTCACCACTGGTATTGTGTGGATATCCAGTGCATTGGTCCAACTCTTTATGAGATGAGAACCAAGCTTCTAAAAGCAAACCAGTGTATTTTTGGTAGCAATGAATAATCCAGCCCACACAAATGCAGCAGGAGGGATAACGGTGATGCTGATATGGCTGTGAAAAAGTAGCAGGGGAGGGGGAAGGCTCTGAAGTGCCGCGCTCTGCCCTCCACTACACTCACAAAGCTGCTCCCTGCAGTAAATCTGCAGCTAAAGCCTGTCTTCAGAGAAATCTCAGGGCTGTGTGGATGTGAAATGTAGACAATAGCACTGAGAACAGCCTTGCAGAGAAGTGAATAGCAAATACACCCAGATCTGCTGTCTGCAATAGTTGGTTTCTTCAAAAGCAGTCCCAGCCTGCATCTGCAGGGCCACCTCCACCACAGCAGCCTTGTTCAAAATATGAATGTTTCTTTTAAAGCTTTCCTTCTAACAATAGGTTAATGAATTTAAAGGATACCAATACAGAGACAGCAGAAAAGATAAGGAAACAAACAAACAAAAAAATCTGACTGAGGAGCTGAATTTAAAGATGTTTGACACAGTAGTAGAGGTGATCACACACTTTAACAGGGACATGAACACTAAAACTGAAACCTTGGGACATTCAATTAAATAAAATGGAACTGTTGTGAGGGAATTAAAGACAAGGATAATTTTATGATCTATATCTCCTCCCACACACAATAGTGAAAATTCAGTCACTTGAAACTTAGGCACTTTACTGAATCAGACATAAATTCATAGATTTTAATGCCAGTGTTTTGTTACAGATAACATAAACCATGAAGTTTTGTCCAATTATTCCTATCTAACACCCATAGATTCAGGAATATATTATTTTATAAAAAAATAACAGGTCTTAAATGTAACAATATGTTATGTAGAGCCTACCTTATCCCTGAATTATTTTTTCTAATGCTTAGTTATCCTTATTTCAACATTATCCTCAGCATTTATCCCTCACCTAAGTAAGTGCAGTTTCAGCATTTAGATCTTAAATCTCACTAGTTTTGTTTACCAAATTAAAGAATACAGGATACAGAAAAATAAGTTACAGAAATATAACATACATTTAACTATGAAATGATATGGCGCCAGATGAGCCAAATTTGCTTCTTCTTCTTATGACTGTGAGGGTAAACAAGGGTAAATTGCTCGGTCCTACCACAGCTGGAGTATATCACTTTTCCCATTAAGTCACCATGTATGTACATCTTACTAATATTGTAGATAAGTTTGACTCTAGTTTTACTTAAAACATTCTTGAGTATTTTAAACAATTTACTACCTACTGGTCCACACAGTGAAGTGCAAGTGAGAGTACACAATATGCTTTGTAATAAGGTCACTGGCTGTATATTGGAGGGGGAAGGAGAGGATGTAAGAGCTAAAATGATACCTGATATATACACACACACACACACACAAACACGTGAACATATATACATATATATTAATATATTAATACATTTGCAGAATTTGCTTCCACTCAAGATGTCCTAAATGCTAAGCCAACATTCTTCAGCTTGGTTAGAAACTGAAAATGTATTCCTTTATCCCCAAAGATAAACATGAGCTAATAACAGAGATTCTGCCAAAAGTGAGAGGATGTTCTGAGACCAGAGATTTTATTTTCCTCCCTCTTATTCTCACATATTTCTGTTTTACAAGTGGTGATATATGACCAGTCACAGCCAGGATAAAACACTTCCTTTCCCTCCATATTTTCAATCAGTTTTACTTTGATTTCATTTTTAAATAACTTTTTTTTTCTCATCAGCCAGATGTTTTATTTGTGATAACTTCTATGTCAGCACCACACTCATCTAAATTCACTGTGTTGCTTACAGAATTTATTTCCTATGTGTAGCCAACAACAGCTAAGGCTCCTTACACGGAAGTCATTAAAACAAGACAGCAACTCTTTTTATTACCGGCCACTGTCTTGACCTTCACAGAGATGCTTTGAATTGAGCAATTCATATGAAATTTAGTACTATGCTGTAATTCTCTCTGTCATGTGTGATAACTCAGAAAGCATGCTAGTCATTCAGTACTACAACTTGGTGTAATTGCTTCTGCAGCCTGACTGAAAGCTACATCATATGATCCACCAGCACATGATTAGTAGTGTAATAAATCTCTGAAACAAGGCATGCAAATACATTAAGTCCCTGATGCATTCAGACTACTATTAAATGTTTTTTCTCATGCAGCAAAGTTTTGCTGGATGTGTATGCACTTATGATTATAACTGGTCACTGGGAAGCAATAAAAGCAATGCTTTCCTCATTATTCCAACTTTTAATAAAGAAAACTGAGCATATATGTACCTAATATCATAAAACCACAAAACTATACTGATGTGCAAAGAAGATGAGGTTATGCATGTTTTACATAAAGCAGTGTTGTTGCGTAAGTTTTAGTATCTTGGTGCCAAATTCAGAGCTCAGACATGAGGCAGCTAAGTGTAGAAGAAAGGCACTCCCTCCGCCGATAAGAATGTCAAGAATTTTCTCATTTCACTAGTTTTACTCACTGCCGTTCCAGACTATATGAGTGAACCCACAGCTCAGGCCACAGGCTGAGAGTTGCCTAACAGCTGATACAGTGTTCACCTCTATTGCCTACTTAACAAATGTAACTTCTTAAATTAATTGAGTTTTTTAAAACGCCCTCCTTTAAGATATTGTGTTATAGCTGTACTTGGATTCCTACATAAATTAAATGAAAAATGATTACTTATAGCATGTGAAATATGCCATCCAGATAAACTTTTATGTGGACTGAATCAAAAATAATCAATTCCTACTAAGGGAGGTGGCAAAAAAGTTGTAGGTTTATTTGGAAACTAATATAAAAACTCTGAAGCGCTGTCAGTAACAGTGTCAAATTTTGTATTTTTTTAGTTATGTAAGCATGCAAGAATAGATGGACTTCTTTATTCTTTTTCTCCCCAAACTGAGTAAATTATCATTTTTTTGTTTAATGTTAGAATAAAGACAAGTAAATATGAGTAAATACATTTTTAACAACCAGGATTATTGCCAAGTAGAAACACTTCTCTTTTCAAAGTGTGTCAGAAGTTGTTTACATTTCATGGGGTGAAGGAAGGAAGGTAAGAGAGAGAGGGAGGTGAGGAAGAGGGAAGGTATTTTGATAAAGTAACTCAGTGATACTTTTTCCTTATTTTTTAATCTATAAAAATAATTTTAACCATCTTATTGAATCCCTCATCTCTTCCGCCAAATTAAATAGATGTAACAGGAAATTCTTTTTATTCTCCCTCCCATCACAGAGATGTGTTAGTCTAATGAGGGAAGCGGAACAGGGGCAGCTGCAGGGGAAGAATTGGGGCATTTGGAGAGAGAAGCCTGTGTACCCACATGCATCTAAGGGCTTGGGAGAAAAACCAGTTAGGGCAGGTTTCATTCTGACAGCCCTTGTTTGGGGGTCTGCTGGCTTTACGGAGTTTCCAAAGTGTAAACCTTAAAGTTCTCTCTCCCCAGTCTCCTCTTCTCCCTCACCACACAGGCACTCATAGCTTCCAATTTAGAGATTAGTACAAATTAATTTGAATCTATCTTTTGTATTATCTCTGGATGGATTATGGGGCAAAGGGCTCTCCTCTGTACTCACCCGCAATATCCCAGAGCTGCAGCCGTACCACAGTCTCAGCATCCCAGCTCAGCACCTTCAAGGCGAAGTCTACCCCGATGGTGGCCCGGTAGTGGGGGGAGAAGTTCTGGTGGACATAACGTTTGATGATGCTGGTTTTGCCCACTCCCAGGTCCCCGATCACCAGGAGCTTGTAGAGGTGCTCCTTCTGATTGTGCTTCTGCATCTTTCCTGTGGCTGCGGCTGCTCCCTGCGAACTGATTGCATGCTCTGCCCGAGGAATCCTGCCAGCCTGAGGGGGAAAAAGGGAGTGAGGAACCGGGGAGGGAAGGAGACCAAGGTAGGTGGAGGCTCTTTCCCTTTGTACAGAAGCAGGATCACCAGGTCCAGCAGCAGCCCTGCTGGGAGATGAAGTAAGCAAGGGACTGGGTGAAGAAAGTCTCCCAGAAAGTTTTGTGCATGTGTGTGGAAAGGTCAGCATGAGGTGTGTCTGGGATTAGTCTGGCTGCTAAAGACTTTGTAGGAAAATTTATGCAACAGTCCTGTTCCCTGTTTCACTCCTTGCTGGAAGGACAGTGTTTCTGTTGTGCAATAGTTTTACACACTTTTTTTTAATTGCTGTCTTCTTCATGATAATTTATCAATCTATGCTTGTTTCCACATATCTTTGAAATGCCAGTCACTGCAAAAAAGCAGAATTCTCCTTTCAGAGGTTTCACGCCTCCATTAAATTGCAAAAATTAAACCAGTGTGACTAACTTCAGATGTGATTTGGTTTTAATCAATGTAAGTCAGTGTGAATGCAGTTATATCACTATAAGTGGGAGTTATAGCAATATAAAGCATCTTTACATGTGTCCACACTAGGAGGGCTGTATGAATTTAGTTATAACAGATATATATTTTCAATTTTCATTAACATAACTGTGATTGTCTGTACTTATAAGCATGTTCACATCTGCTGAATGCAACACACAGCTTATGCTTTGTTTATTTATACAACTGGACTCTAAAATGCAGACAATCCAGATTTATCCCATGACTCTGATAATCAGAAGTTGTGAAAGCATAACAGCATTAGAGAATATGAATGCCAGTGTCTCAACAATCCTCTATTTTCCAAAATAAATTATATCAAACTTGCAAACAATTGAACACATTTGAGTAGATCATTCCATTGACGTTACTGATCCTGTATTTTAAACAAAGAACACAGTGACAGTTTCAACTTGACAGCTTAGCTGGAGACCCTTATCCATTGCCTAGAGGTGTTTAATTCTTTTAACAGTTTAGATAGCAAACCTCCAGAATTTTAATATTGTTTGAAACACATCCATGCATGATATCCACATTTATTGATCTTCTTAAAGTGAAAACATATTTTACACTTATTGAAATATTATTTGATGGAATTTTTATCCAAATGTGCACTGAAATGGCATTAGAAATTTGTCATCTATCCAAAAATATAGATTTTAGTAGACAAAGAATTCAGAACACTTATGTTATACAATCTTATATAATCAATCTTTAAACTCAAATGTTAAAGTTTGTGTATATATACACACACAAAGTAGAGATGGGTAATTTGAGGAGAAAAATATCTTATTTTCGTTTAAACTTTTTATTTTTAATAAAAGGTTTTTTTTTCAATAAGTTAATTTATCTTTCCAAAACCAAACCGTCATTTGTATCCTTCTGTTTGGAGAGAAAACTTTAAAGGCTTAGCCTTGTTAGCTACAGATGTCATAAAAGGCTACAATTTGAGAAGCAAATCAGTTCATTTGAATCAGTTACTATCTTTGCGTGATTCAAGCTTATTATCATTGCTACTAGTAGTGTGAAGTCTGTGAATCTTACCTTCATAGCACTGCCATTTTCAGAGAGGATCCAATACCCAAGCACTTCTAAGCACTTATAACTACCGTCTGAAGTTTAAGACTTCTCATTTTAGTGGTTAAAAAAATAACAGAATGAGAGCATTTAGAAATGATTAAACTAGTATTTTGGATGAGGTTGAAATTATATCTCACCTTTTATCCTTTTTTAATGACAACCAATGCTCAGACAACAGTCCATGGAAGATCACTGTGAGATATTAAGAAACTGGAGGTCCTAGGCTATTAGTAAGTATATTTAGAGATTGGCCTACACCCAGAAGCATGAGGCTTTACCTCTGTTCCAAAGTTTTTGTTAGCATTAGCTACAACTCTGGATAATCATGTTACTTGTTTAAGTTTGCAATTCTTCTTTGAACCTGGCTAAATTCTTGGCCCCACAAACACCCTGGCACAATGAGCTCCTCACAGGCTTAATCAAGGTCACCCTGGGATGGCGGTACAGCTATAAGTAAGGTGTTGAAGATGTTTTGATGTGGGGTGAGCTTGTAGGAAGCTTCATTGCGTTTAAAGGGATGGTCTGCTGAGCTAAAGTGAAACATGGACTGAAGTGTCTTCCTGAGTGAAATCTGTACCCAGATCTCCTAACTCCATGGTGAATTGGCTTCCCAGACACCATCTGCTGAGTGCTCTTGAGGCAGGCAAAGGCCCTCTGCCCTGCATTGCTCCATCTTTTTGGAAGACTGTTGCCACATCCTGCACTATGTATCTGTACTGGTTTGGCTTCATCGGCATCTGAAGGCACCAGGGCAAGGAGATGTGGATGTACAGCTCATCTGCTGCAGAAATAGTAAGAACTGCCATGTGAGAAGGCAGACAATTTTGGTTGGTCATGTCTTAAGCAATCATTGCAAGACTTGTTTGATGATGCCAGCTGATCCCTTCAGACACACAACCAGGTTACTGTGACTCAAAGATTTGCTGCAGGCAGAGGTGTCCAGGGAAGTACACTTACCCTGGAGCTGCTGCAGTGCAATTTGTCTTAGCTGAGACAACAGTTAAAGGCAGTTAATATAAACAATATTAACTTGCTTTTGCCACCCACAGGTAGGGAGTTAGAAAGACTCAGCTGACATGAAGTAACTTGTTAAACTGGGAGAGGCAGATGATGTCTCTGAGCCCTTATTCTGCTGCTTCAGGTCCTTCGAAAATGTACAGGCAATAAGAACATGTAAAACATGCCACCAATTTAGTTGATATTTCAGTGCTTATATTTTAGTTGTCTGTGTTTTCTCTGGTAAAGACATACATTTTAAACTTTATTAAATCAATATAAATAATAATTAAAATCCCATGTGACATTATGTATATCTATGCTGTTTTATTTTTGTATTTATTTTGTATTCGCTACTTGTCGACTATGCTACACAATAATATCATCCAACGCTCTGCTGTCTTTATTTTAATATCTATACTAATAGAGTATGTTAACACTATTTTAATTGGCAGGAATTGCTACAAAGTCTATACCTCTCCATTGTAAATAATAACATTTAAGAAAGTTCCATCAAATTATCACATTACCGACTGTGTTGGCCTCAGCATAAAAGAGAAACTCTTTTTACAGTGATAATTTTCAGGAATTTCTCACTATTTCTCTCTCTTATTAGTACACGTTTTTCTCTGAGAAAAGTGATAAAATTGAGGATGCAATTACATTGACAGGAATCAAGGACATCATGACTGCATCCTGGATTTTATCACTCCTCTTTGCAGAGAGGACATTTTCTCTACAGAAAAGGATGTCATTCCTGACTGAACATCACAATTGTTACAAAAACAGACCTTTAAAAAATGGCAATGTTGTCTGAGATGCTGAAATCATCAGGTAATAGTTTTTGCCCAAGGAAATAGATTGAAATTATTAGAAATATCTGTATTTAAAGGATTACCATCTGATTATCTAGGGGTCACATCTATCACTATTATAGTCGTAGCTTTGAATGTCTAGAAGGGATTGGCTTATGTCATATATCATATCATATCTGGCCTATATATCATATTATATAAATTACACCATAATCCAGGGAAATTGTAAATATGTGCATGTGTATGTATATATACATTCATATGATGTGATAGATGAAATTCATATGATAGAAGATTATTTTATGTTTTAGAAAAAATACAAAACATTGCAATTCTAAACAGTTTTTTGCCAGATTTCCATATCACATTTAATCCTGGGGTATGGATTAAATATTAAATTGTTAGCTACACAGAAGACTGTTCATCTTTTATTAATATATTGTCTTCCTCATTTCAGTCAGAGCATATCCACTGACTTCATTATGGGAATAGTCAATCATGGCAAGAATAATTTCTTACAAAGAAATATATTGTTTTAACAAAATGGTACATTTCCCCCAATTTTATTTTTACACTAGAAAGATTTAATTAGTTTGGATTTTCTCTTCTTCCATTCCAACTGTTCTTGTGATTAAGACATTCAGTTAAAAACTACTGTTGACTCATCAAACATACCCATAGTGGAATGTTTATTGACTTGTCAAACATAGCAAGAACTCTGCTTTGATTAAATTATTATCTTTTTAATTGATAATTAATTTAGCCAAAATTACACTTTATCAGGAAAGATCCCTCATGGAATATCTAAACAAATGTTTTTGCAACCAGTGGAAGTACTGGTTAGCTTTTATGGTCAGATGTCACATTGTTGGTCTGAAATGAGTTACAACTCCTGCACTTAATTATTCTCACTCATTGAAAGTTCAGTCTACACACTGGCTGAAAGTTCTCTATCACGAATGTAACAATATAGACTTAACGGGCATGCTCAAGTGTTACCTCCTGGGAATTATGCTCCAGCTGTCCTACAGACCAAGGTCTGGATGGCAGGAATAGTCTATGGTGTTATCATCTGGTTTATCTCAGGAACTACACTTCTTGAAATCACCCAAAACCTTTCCCTCTAGCACATTTTTAGACCTGTTAGAAAAGTCTTAAGCAGGCATGAGTTACTGGTTGAGGGTACAGGTTTGTTCCCTAGAGCAGTGGATCTGTTTCTAGGGTTAGAGATCTCTCAAGATCAGACCTCAAGGCTAGGTAGGATTCAGGGCAGAAAAATAGTGAGAACACAGGGAAAGAGAATCAAAATTTTAGCAGCCTACAGGTGCATGAATCATTGTATTTAAAGAAGGGAGAGTTTGTGGTTCTCTTGCAATTACAGACTCTTAGTCTGATAAAGCAATCTGGCTTGGTTACTTCTTACACATTCCAATATACCTTCCAATAATCCTTCCACATCCACTAGCCCTGTACCAATGCCTCAGGGCACCTCAGATGGTTTTAAATACCTGTGTGAGCACAGTCAGTGCTCAGATTCAGACATGTTTCTGTTCTATCACAGTGAAAAAATAATAATAATTCGATGTAATTGCCTTTCTCAAGGCTGTACTATTTTATATTTTCTTATAGATCCACACAACCTAATGAAATCTAAGTTAAGGCCTATGTTTTGGAGCCTGC